GTTTTCTATTTTCAGTCTCATTCTTCAAGACCGCGTGTTTATAACCATCAGTCCTTTCTTCCTTAGTTTTCTTTTCTGGAAAAGGTACTATCCCATTTCCTTGATGCCCAGAATAACAAAGCAGTTTCCTCTCTCACATCAACTCTAGACTTTAGTGGCGGACACCTGCAATGCTCTGTGGGAAGGTGCGTGTGGGCCAAATCATATCTTCATCTTCCATGAGCACGAGTGGGAGAGTTGGGTACATGTTATAGGAATGTTCAGAACTTTATTGTAAGGCCTGCTTGTTCCTCCATAATCAGGAGAGTTACAAGGAATATTTGAAACAGTAAAGTCAGCACCTTCTCAGTCAGAATGAACTAAGGTCAACCAGATTGCCAGAGCAGGGTGTGGAGCCCCTCTGTGCCAAGTGCTTATACGTCAGTGCCTGGGCGCATGCAGCACCCATGATTCCTGGGAAAGTGCAGGGTGGAGAGTGTGGAGAACAGGCTAGGTCCTTTATCCACTAAATAGCAACTGCTATAGGGGTGATGTTGGTCCCCAGCCTTCCCCTGCTGTCTCACCCACTCCACATTCTGGAAGCCTACAAAATATGAGAAGGAAGAGTCATGTTCTCTTTGTCCCGTCTGCCTGTCTTGGTGAGATTTTAAGCAAATTAGAAATTCTTTACTTGTTTTTCCTTGAATACCTGAATTGATGTACTACTCAAGCAAATCCCTGCTGTTAAATAAACTCAAAACTAAGTTGCAGAGTTAGCACTAGATGCTATAAAATGTTATAAAACTCTGAAGCAAAACAGGGGAAAAAAAAAAAAAAAAGAGTCCGGCTGAAGTTGGATGGATGGTGGAGCCCAAGAAACGGAGCGGAAGCTTCTCCATCTATCAGAGTCATGCAATTAAACAAACAACCCCCAAAGAGGAGTCCTCAAAGAAAATTGTTTTAGAGTACACAATGAAAGACCAAACAAAACTAAACTTGTCTCTGACTTTTTTTTTTTAATAAAAGGGGCTGCTTAAAATGATGACTGTAAGAGTGTGTGCCACTTTGCCCAGATTTGCTGTGCAGAAGTGTGAGTGATGTAGAGGTACTTGTTTATTATAGAGCACATTTCAATGCAGTAATCATAAATATTGCTAAGGTTGTGCTCTGTTGAAATATGACCTACATCCTCTTGATTGTTTGTGTTACGTGATTTGTCTGACACCCATTACATTCTGGGTAATAGCAGCCATTTGTTGCTCTGCACAGCAGGCTCTTTTGACAAAAGAAAATAGGCAGCAATAAAAAAGCTATAGTCTGAATTACATTCTGCACAGAGCTGCACTGCTGAGAGTTTGTGCAAGTGTGTTAACAATGCTCTGAACTGCCTCTTGTCAGCCTTCAGCCTGTAATGGCCATCTGTCCTCACATAAATCTGTCAAAACCTGCTAAGTTCAAGAGAGAGCATGGAATATACCTTGTAATGTCAACACCAAAATGTACACATTCTCCAGAAAATCAACACACAGGAAATAATCCGGAGGTTATGGGAGGCATTAGCACTGTTGATTTAGGCTTGTGGCATGAAATTGAGAGTCCAGCGATTAGCGGGAAGATGAGCAAAGGTAGCGACGTTAAGAAATCGAGTACTGACCTTCCTCCTGCCCCGGGGAAAGGAAATGTGGGCAGAGGAGTTGAGGTTGGAGAGATGCCCTGGGTTCAGGGACACTGCAAGGTTGGGGATCCCATCAGCAGCTCTGGAAAGTTTGGCGCTATGTTAAAAGAGAAAAACAACAACAACAACAACTCTTTGCCCTTTAGTTTTGTTTGGGCTGGGGTCTCAACCATATCTGGAGATTAAGCACTTGGCGATAGGAAATCTTGTCATTCTTGCTATTTCTCAATCTTGAGCTGAGATATTCTCTGGTTAAAGATCTTTCAATGAAGCGTAAAAAATTTAGGGAACTATCTAAATTATTTTCCTTTGGCCACCTCGGGACTAATCACAAACTATCTCCCATCCAATAAGCAAATATTACTTGTTTGGTTTAACAGGTGATGCTAACAGAAATTCACAGTCCTGATATTTTCACTCACCGGACATGTTGGGTTGTCACTGAGCATTTTCATAAATTTCAAACATATCTGAAAGAAAAATATACTGATTTAAAATTTGAAAGAATTGTCTTTTTATTAAAATGAACCCTGAGGTCCTTGAGGGTGGACATATCTTTCAGCACATAGTAGGTGTTTAAAGAACTCCTATGCAATGGCCAGAACCCATTTAATAGATGGAGGAGGTAAAAGGCTTTGTTTTTAACTCAAAGAAAGTGTAGTGTTGCCACTTCCAAGAGCAACTTGAGAACCAGTTATTTAAGCGATAATGAGCTTAGGTACTGGGACAGGGTTTCGAATTTTCAAGACTAAAAAGAATTTCTATATTTAAAATCCCTAGATAGCTGAGATATTTTTAGAACTCATCTCTAATAGTGGCCTAATTTGGTGTTTCTGAAGTTTAGGGTTTCTTTTTATAAATCGACAGTGTCCGTCGAAACCCACGTTTGGGAGTACGAGGCGATGTCCTATGGAGATTCTTGAGGGCCGTGGTGCTCCATATGTGGTCTGGGCACCTCCTCATTAAAAATGTTTAGCCAGCTTCTGAAGCGAATCTTGGGCCCCTGAAATGAGAGCCTTTCTGTTCAAGGAGAAGCTGGAAAAATAAAAATGAGCAAAAACAGGTTGTGAGAAATAAGCCCAAGAGACATCCCTAAAAGAGTTTAAGATCTATTTTGAGAGAAGATACAATTCACATTGAAAGGGAGATAAGCAAGAAGACAGCGCTCTCTGTCCTGTAGGAAGTGAGTGATCCCAGCAGTAGATTATCGGAGAGGTACAAAGGACCCTAACTTGGAGTGAGGACGAAAAGATTTACGGAGTTGGGTTGTAGGAAGTGGTGTGTCACTTCCTCCAATTCAAGGGCCCCATCATTTGGCATGTTTAACTGATATTTATTCCGAAAAAGAGCTTATGCATCATTATTTTCTAAGCATCTTAGACGCCCAGGAGGAATATTTGAAAACTTGCCATCTCTTTCCTGGACATCAGTGTCTTTAAATTTGTCGTGTTGGTGGTTGAAGGTAGTGGGTGGTGGAAATGGAGTAGGGCAGAAGGTACACAGAGCTAGAAAAAGAGAGAGGAGAGGAAAGGGACCACACTAGACTTCTTAGATTGAACAGAAGACTACTCTTCTAAGATAGCGGAAGCAGAGGGGGCGTACCTGAGTGGCACAGGTGTTCTGTTCAGTCAAATGTTCATGCCTGTCAGCTGCAGCAAAGGGTAGGAGGGGCTTCCAGAGCAGCTGGCAGCCAAGTCTTCCAGGCCCAGCAGGGTCTCCGCCTCTGCACGGCCTTCCTGGGCCTTCCAGGATTTTCTGGAATGGGAATCAGGCCAAACCCTTTCCTATTTTGATGCCCGTCATCCTCTCATTTAGTAAGATTACCCATGATTACTCAAATTTGCCAAAAAATGGGTGTAGATGGTTCATTTGGGGGGAGAAAGCGTTGAGTTCTCCTTTTTTTTTTTTTTTGTATGTGTGTAAAGTAGGAGAGCGAGGCAGCATCTTCCTCTTCATATCAAAATTTCATGTGGCTTTCTGTGACCTACTTGGTTCTTGATATATATATATATATATATATATATTTTTTTTTTCTCCCAGCAAAAGGTAGGATTTTTTTTTCCTTGAAAAACGTGCAGTTGCCTCAAGTCTAACCCCAGGCTTGTTAGCGGGCTGAAAACTCTTTTTTGCTGAATAGCGTTCACCCATCCTTCCAAATAGACAGTGTATTGTAAACTAAAATGTTCCCTTGTAAGCACGAAGTCATTTGAACTCCAGCCTGCCCTTCTTCAAAGTCCCCTGGACTCTGGAGCCATTTCACAAGGCTTCTTCCTTGGTGTGGAGGGAGGAGGAGAATCTGCCGAGGGGTGAAACTTAGCGGTAGCTACCATATTCCACAGACCCTCCTACCTTGGCCTGGGATGGAATTTTCCACCCTTCCGTGGCAGAGGAAGAAGGGCAACAACTGACGAGTGTTCCCCTTTCTTCCTTTATTTCTTCTTTATTTAATTAGTTGCCAGAGCTCGGATTCATTTCAATCCTTCCGTCTCATCGCCCTCACTGATGTGCTCTAAATAAAATGGTCCACTGGCGCAGCGATATTTACTGTTACCGTTCACTTAGGTTTCTGTTGCAGAACCATATTTTAGACAGAATGTATTAGTTATGCTTACAAGAACGTATTATACCTACATTAGCCATGGTTTACTAAGCTAATGAACTGTGGAGACAAAGAATCATTGCCGTCAAGTCATCGAGTGACTCGGGTTCCCTGCATTCGTCTGGTCTGTCGTATTTTACTGACTTGGAAAGATGCCTCTGCCATTCCCACCCTGACCAACGTTTGCTTTCATTCCCCCCCCCCTTTTTTTTTTTCAATTTTCAAAATTGCTTAATTCCCCAGCTTCAAGGTTACATTTTCTTGATGGGCTGAAGAGCCCTAAGCATATGCCTCTTTTGCAATATTCTTTGCAGACAAATGGAACTGAGGCCTATTCTGTGGCTCCTGAGTCTCATTGCTTGAATTTCCATGAGGCAGCCTGTACCGTATCCTTGAAGGAACTAGCAGTAGGATGGCTGGAGCTGTGGGGGCTGGGGGTGACACCTTCACATTGCCTGGGAAGCAGGATTTGTTAGCATTGATGTTTGAAATACAAAATATCACAGCTCCTGCTGCTGCCTGGCTCCGTCGATCCATCTTTTCTTGGTGACAGAGGCTTAGGGGAAGAGTCTGTTTTTCAAGTGTTGCCCTGAATTTAGCTTCTTCCTTCTTCACTCAGTTTTAACCCTTGTCTGAAATCTCAGAAAACTTAGGAAACGTGTCTTGTCATTTAAGAACATCATCTCTGTCTCTTTTCTCTCTTTATTGCTGCTCTTTTTTTTTTTCTTTCTTTTTTTTTTGCCTCAGGCCTCACTCCACCCACAACTCCTCCTCATAAAGCCAACCAAGATAACCCTTTCAGGGCTTCTCCAAAGCCGAAGTCCTCCTGCAAGACCGTGGTGCCACCGCCATCAAAGAAGGCCCGGTACAGCGAGTCTTCTGGTACCCAAGGCAATAACTCTACCAAAAAAGGGCCTGAGCAGTCCGAGTTGTACGCGCAGCTCAGCAAGTCCTCAGTGCCCAGCAGTGGACACGAGGAAAGGAAGGCCAAACGGCCCAGCCCACGCCTGTTTGGTGACCATGACTATTGCCAGTCAATTAATTCCAAAACGGAAATACTTCTTCACGTGTCACAGGAGCTCCCAGACTCTAGACAACTAGACTATAAAGATGCCTCCTCTGCCTGGCAGGGGCAGATTTGTTCTTCCACAGACTCAGACCAGCTCTACCTGAGAGAGACGCTGGAGGCCAGCAAGCAGGTCTCTCCTTGCGGCACCAGAAAACAGCTCCAAGACCAGGAGATCCGAGCCGAGCTGAACAAGCACTTCGGTCATCCCAGTCAAGCTGTTTTTGACGACGAAGCAGACAAGACCAGTGAACTGAGGGACAGTGATTTCAGTAATGAACAATTCTCCAAACTACCTATGTTTATAAATTCAGGACTCGCCATGGATGGCCTCTTCGATGACAGCGAAGATGAAAGTGATAAACTGAGCTGCCCTTGGGATGGCACGCAATCCTATTCATTGTTCGACGTGTCGCCTTCTTGCTCTTCTTTTAACTCTCCGTGTAGAGATTCCGTGTCACCACCCAAATCCTTATTTTCTCAAAGACCCCAAAGGATGCGCTCTCGTTCAAGGTCCTTTTCTCGACACAGGTCGTGTTCCCGATCACCATATTCCAGGTCAAGATCAAGGTCCCCAGGCAGTAGATCCTCCTCAAGGTAAACCTTGTCAAAAGCCACCCGGGGCCTTAAGGTGCTGCTCAGGAAGTCAAAGAAGTCTCCAAACCCCACAGCCAGCCCAGCCCTTCCCCCGCCACCATTCCTCTTGGCTGAAACCATATTGTTAAGTGTCCCTCCCTCCCCAGGTTCCTTTTTATCTCTCAGGCCTGGGTGTAGTGCCTTGAGCCAATGCGATCAGAGAGAGCAATTTGTAAGAAACTTGTTCATCTAACTTTTTCCATTACCTGGAGAGCTGCCCTGTGCCAGGATAGTTGAGATCCATGCGAGATAAAGCTGACAGCGTACCAGACCTGGTGCTCAGTGTTCACATCAATAAGGAAGCAGAGAGAGAACACATCCCTCCCGGGCCCCTGAGCTGACTAGCTGATCACAGGCTGTCACTGGGAAATCTCACTAGGAGCTAGGAAGGAAAAGCCAGTTTATGTAGCCCGGTGTTCTGCGGGACGCTCAGTAGCCCCAGTAAACTTGGGGGTCAGTGGCAGTGGCAAATGTCCCTTTCCTTTTTCTCCTCTCTCCCAGGTCCTGCTACTACTATGAGTCAAGCCACTACAGACACCGCACGCACCGAAATTCTCCCTTATATGTGAGATCACGTTCAAGATCGCCCTACAGCCGGCGGCCCAGGTAATGAGGCGTGTCCTTGTCCTTGGGCTCCTTATATCCCTTCCTTTAGATGACAAGATGGTATCTAAAGCCCTTCTGACCTCCCCAAATTACCATTCATCTTGCTCCTGCAAATGGAGGTGGTTGACTTAATGACGAAGTTGTGTTTCTCAGGTATGACAGCTACGAGGCGTATCAGCACGAAAGGCTGAAGAGGGAAGAATACCGCAAAGAATACGAGAAGCGGGAATCCGAAAGGGCCAAGCAGAGAGAGAGGCAGAGGCAGAAGGCAATTGTAAGCAGCTGGGAGCTAACTTTCTTTTTAAAAGAGGGTTGCTATTTTTTTTTTTTCCTATGTGCTTTTTTCTTTTTCTTTTTTTTTTTTCCCTTTTCTCTTTTTGGTAGATTAGAAAATAAACGAAAGCTAAGGCTTTGTCTAAATGGGCTATAATCAGCCTTTTGGCTTTAAAATATCAATGAGTTTTCAGTTGCGCTTAACAGAACTTATTGGAAAAAAGTGCTGTGTCAGGAGATTCCCCATTCTAGTTGCATTTGGAAGTTCATTACCGTTTTTGAGTTTTGTTTTGAAGAATGGAGGGAGTAGAGGTTTATTTGGGCAGATACTGGTTTCATCTGGCTAGAGATGAGTTTTTGTTTTTTTTTTCACTCTTTCTGGTTGCTTCTTTCTCTGAGTGGACAAGGGGGAGGTATTGCTGTTTGGTTTCCGTTTTCATCTTTTTGACAGACTCAGGGATTGGATTGTCCATGAAGAGACTGGGTTCATGTTAGATTTAAAGGCGGCTGTAGAGGAAGATTTGCTGGGGAAGTCATCATTTCTTAGTTCAGATGGGTCAGCCCCTAACTCGTTGGTCTCTGAGGGTCAGTACTCCTTTTTTTGGCATCTGCTAATAAGTAGACTTTCTCCCAGCTCCACACTGCTGCTTATGCACCTAGACCTTAGATGGCATAATGAAGCTCTGTGACGGTCAACACCCCATACTTGCCCATGGCAGACACTCCTAATCAATTCTGGAACTCTGCCCCACCAAGCCCCCACAGAGTCTTAGGGTCTTTCCCAACATGGTGCTCCAGGGAGCCCTGGCTAATCATTCAGATATGGCTCTACTTTGGCTCATTGCACCTGAGGCCTGTCTATGCTAGTTGCTAAGTTCAGTGAACATCAGCATTTGACATGTTTTGCTTATGAGCTAACCAGGGCTTAGGGAAATGATTTTAAACCATAGAAGTTGGATTTCTATGGTACCTTTAAGAAAACCCACTAACATCAACAAAATTTTGAAAAAACCTAAATAAAAGAGCTGACTCATAGAGTCCAACTCAAGCCAGCTGGAGGAAAGAGGCTAAATGAGAGGTTTGTTAATCACAGGCATCGAGGGGAAAGAACCGAGAGGTAATTGAACAGTTAGACCCAAGTTCTGGGGTGTTTGCTGCCACTTAACTTTGAACCTACCAAAGACTCAATCAAAGGCCCTGTGCAAATTATAACACTTTTCCTCCTTTTTCTCAACTTTCAAATGAGCTGATATTAAGATTTGCCAGAGAATCATTAGTTAACACTTACAAAGACTAATGACAATTAAAAATTCCATTTTTCTAATATTGCTATGTTTAATTAATGGCCTATTCAATAATTATAATAACTCACATTTATATAATGCCATATAGTTTACAAAGCCTTTTAATATGGCACATTACAATTAATCATTACAAAAGAGAATCATGTTAAGCAAGCATGTAGGAAAATAGTTATTTTAGTGTCTGCAAATTCATATTTTAAAAAATTCTTGATCCGCCCCCCCAATAGGATATTAAAGATAGAGATTAATAGTTTCATCTTATATGTCCTCATTTGGTCAAAACATAACTGAATTCGAAAGCCAGATTAATATTTTCATCAAAAATATATAAATTGGGCTGGGATTGTGGCTCAGCGGTAGAGTGCTCGCCTAGCATGGGCGGGACCCGGGTTCGATTCTCAACACCACATAAAAATAAAGGCATTATGTTGTGTCCATCTACACCTAAAAATAAATAAATAAATAAACAAACAAAGATATATATATATATTGTGTATTTTAAGCTTTTCAAAGATAATTTAGCTCCCAATTCCTAATTAGAGTAAAGAAATCCTAAAGGAAGGGAGGGCAAAGATTTCCTATACCTGCAATGTCAAATATGGTGGTTATTAACCCATGGATAGTTTGATTAGACAGAATTAATGTACAGCATGTGATTGAATTTTAAAGACTAAATACAAAAATTAATGGAAAAATTAATTGATACTTTAATATCAATCTGCAAGAAAGAGAGCGAGCTGTCTTTTTGTTAGTTCAACTCTTTCCAAACAGATGGGACAGTGTTGTTGTTCTAGATGAGCCAGAAGCTTCCTTGGGGCTTCCATCCTCAGCTTGAAAGCAGAGACCACCTTGCTTTTCTTTGTGCCTCACAAGTTGAAGAGCTCCTCAGTTTATTCTTCGACTAGGACAATCTTTATAAGTTCTCTTCAAAAGAGGACTTGTAGTGTTGCAAATGTCAACTTGGCTTCTCTGAAATCATTTCTTATGAACTAGACATTGGTAGGAGTCTTGATTTGGGAATATGTTTTAGTTTTTGTTTTTGAGAAGCAGATAAAAAAACCAAAAAACCAAGACAAAGAGATTCTTACAAATTGAGGGACCCGTAGGTAGTAAGTGCTTAAGAAAGATTTGGAACTTTCTTTGTTTTTTCATTATTTTTATTGCTTCATGACAGCTATACGTAACAGGATCATTTTGACATGATTATAAATGCATGGAATATAGTTGGCTCCAGTTCAGGACCTCATACTTACGTTTACCCTCCTGGTTCTCTGTCCCCCTGTTCCCTTTTCTCTACTCCACTGGCCTTTCTATTTATTTACATTTTTTTTACACTAGAATTTTGTGGATATATATAATAGTAAGTTTATAGTAGTATATAAACTCTGAAATATATTCAGGTATGTACATTGGAAAATTTGGAACTTTCTGTTGAACCAATTCTCCCTTGGACAATTATGTGCTATTTTTGTTTAACACAAATGAAAACTCATTACTTTCTTTGACAAACATTTGCTAGATGCTTAGGATATAAAATTAGATAAGACCTGGTCCCCATAACCAGAGATCTTCAAGTCTGATAGAGTTGCAAAACAGGCAAAGCAGTGTGATAAATGATATGATAGAGGGTCTGTCTAGGGTGCTGTACTGGCATACGGGTGAACCCCCAGACATGGGAATGAGGAAGGACATCCCTAGGTAGATTGAAATGATCTGAACCCTAAAGGAAGGGAGGGCAACAATTTCCTATACCTGCAATGTCAAGTATGGTGGCTATTAGCCCATGGATAGTTCGAGTAGGCAGATTTATGATACAGAGTGTGATTGAATGTTAATGACTAAATACAAAATATAATGGAAATATATTTAATTAATACCTTAATATCAATCAGAATTTTATCTGATAATGGCTTAGACATATTGAGCTAAATTCTATTATTAAGATTGAATTTTCAGTTTCTTTTACTTTTTTTAAATGTGGCTCTTTGACAATTTAAAATTACCTACCTGACATTTTTTTTTTTAATATTGCTGTCCAAGGCAGAGACAATAGCTTAAACTAAGTTTCAGGAAAACAGTTCAATATATTAGGAAACTACTAGTCTTTTAACTAAAATACTAGGGCACCAGAAGAGCAGGAAATAAGTTGAGAGGTTTGGTGAAAGGCAGATTCTGAAGGGTTCTATAACTCATGCTAAAGATTTTGAAATCTGTCTTGAAGGCACAGTGAAACTATTTAATGAATTTACCCACAGGAGGATTTTCTGATCGATCTCCTTTCTCTAAATGGTCTGCTTTCTTGTGCCGTAATGCATTTGCAAAGTATGTTTTTACAGGGTTACAGGAAATAATTTTTGACTCATTTGGACTAAAATTAGCTTAAAATTCATTTACGAAGTAGCTAAGGGAACTAGAGCCGTCCTCTAAGTTGCCTGCCAGGTAGGTGACTCCCATTTACTTTTGGAGACACCCTCAAAGTGATGAATGATTAGCAAATTACATTTGGAATATCTTGGATGCAGTGCTGGATTAATCATTCATCAAATCCTTCACATATTTAGGGGACCATCAAAACAGAGGCTCCAAAAGGAAAATTTTAAAGAATCATTCAAAATATAAGAATATTTACAGAATTATTGTTTTCTAGCTTTGTCTTTTGGACTGTATTACTTTTTTTTTTTTTTTTTTTTTTTTTTTAGTTCCATAGTTTAGGATGACTGCAAACTTTTCATTGCTTGTTCCTCCAAAAGTCTAAGTCCAGCCAAACTTCATGGCGTCAAATCAGAAACTAAGAGGACACTATTAGTTATTACTAATATAGAATCGTACAGTGTGGTGGAACATCACCATTGTTTCCTCAGCTGTTTTCTTACAATTCCCACCTAAACTCTTTCTCAAAAGCCAATTGACTGTCTGCCTTTCTATGTCTCCTAAACTTGAAATAATTCAAATTACATTGGGCTCTGCAAGCCAGAATTTAGTACTTACTGTCTAAACTGTTTCTGCTCTAATTTCTTGGTGCATTCTACTTCCAACTGCATTTGCAATCTGCACAGTTTCCTGCCAGAAAACATGATAATGGGATGTTAATTTAAAGGACAAATCTAGACATTATGATATGGCTCATTGCTTAAAACCAAACCCAGATGTGCCTGGGCAGTGGCCATCCATTTCATTGCTCTTTTTTGTTGGTCACTATGCAGCCCTGGAGCCAGGAACAGTATGTCATCACCCATAACCAAAAACTTATTCCAAATGGAAAACAATGAAGTTGTTTCAGTTATTCTTTTTGAAGGAAATGCATTAGGTTTTCATTGTAGCCTATCAGCCTACCACACCCCATGTTCTCTCAGTACTGGAGTAGTCAAGCCTTTTTAAGAAGCAGTTTCATGAATGGGAGTATAATATTAGATTGCAACTTTAAATTCAGTATTTACACATTTTCAGTTTCATGGTAAGATGAACAAATTCTAGAGATCTGCTGTACAACATATTCCCTATAGTTAATAATATGATAATGTGCACTTTGAATTATGCTAAAAGGATCCTTCTCATGTTACATGTTATATGTTCTGTATTTCCTGCTCCTTTCCCTCTATGTAGTAGTAACTTTCCTGAGAGGGAGAGGGAAAGAGAAAGAGAGAGAGGAGAGAGAGAGAGAGAGAGAGAAACACCACAAAGGGACTTTATGGAGATG